TTCAAGAAATTCTTCAACATAAAAATGTTTCATTAAATATTCGGAAGCCTTATCATATAGCGCTTAGATGAGGGACTTTGACATCAGCTCTCTCTAAGTTCAGGTCCTGGGTCTGCCACTAAAAGTCAGTGTGACCTTCAACAAGTGAATCACCTCTAAATCTGTTACACACTGGTGTGGATTTACAGAAATCATACAAATTCAACTTTTCAACATTGTAAGTGTCCATAAATGGGAGCTATGTTATACTGTTGTTTCAACTTGATTTGTGAAAGAACAACATGACTCAACATCAGCTATTATAAAGTTTATTCAATTCATGGCAACACTGTGTGTCTGACTAGAACAGTGCTTCATAGGAATTTCAAGGACTTATTTTTCAAAAGCAAAGTGTCAGGGTTTTCTGACCAGGTGCCTTTTGGTAGACTCAAACCTCCAATCTTTGAGTTAAAAGCTGAGTTTGTTAACTATTTGCATCACCCAGGGACTCTTACTGAATCAATGCTTTTGTATAACTTTAAATAATTAGAGATGCCATTCTTAGGAGAGAAAGGTGAGGTCTCATTAAAATCCTAAGAATCAAAAGTACTGGTGGTTTGTTAACTGCAAATTAAATTCACAATATTAACTTAAATTTAATTTGTAAATTTGATCTTAACCAAATTTCAATCTAAATTACTTATGCTTTAATAAATCTGAGCCAAAGATTAACAAGAAAGGCTGATGTTTGTAAGTACAACCTAATAAAACAATTCAGTATTCCTTGTTAACAAGTAATCAACTTCTGAAGATCTGGAAGGTCCATCATATTTAGTTTGGGCAGAGGAATGAAATATAATGGGCACACACATATGTTCAAGCAGATACTCTCAAGGCATCTAGCCTTTGATTTCCTAGGAAATTAAGGGCCAGACTCTTATACTCTAAACAGTAAATGCATTGATTGAACAATTCACAGAAATTGTAGCTGTATTTGGAAGATATGCTTCTGAATGTGCTACTGAATAGGACTGCACCAAAGGTTTGGGTAGATCTTTGGACTCACCCAGATTAGCAGTGCCAAAGTCTGACAAATTAAATTTCAACACTTCAAGTTCATCTTGGCAGATGCTAGTAACCTGATGTCATGCAGCCATGATGTAAGGCAGAAAGAGTGGTATTTTGCAATAGAGAGATTCTGGTAACCCATCCCATATGTGTAGGTTGTAAGATATCAATATTTATACATATATATGTTACTCCACAAAGAATGTTACATTTGGTAACACAGAGGAGTTGGATGGCTTATTCTGGATCTTTCTACAGAGAATTGGCTGTGTGTTCAACACCAAAAGCTTATGTTGCTAATGTTTGCCTTGTTATTTTCTTAGGGAATGTTTTCAGTTAAACAGAGCAAATAGAAATCTTCTTGACTTCACTAAAATGGATAATTCAAAATTAAAGGGCTGGATTTGTACTTTGCTAGGAACCAACTCAACTGCACTTAACAACAGCAAAGGGAATAGTAGAGGTTCTGGTGTGGCACTATGGGATAAGCACTGGACTTCTAACTACAAGATTGGTGGTTCAAATCTACCAGCTGTTCCTCAAAAAAATCTATACACTATACAGGGTTGCTATGAGTCAGGACCGATTCAACAACACTTAACAGAAGTAACAGAAAATACTATAAAGCTCAAGTTTTCTTTCCTTCTGAAACTTTATAAAAATGTTTGCTGTTGTTAAGTGACGTCAAGTCAGTTCCCACTTATAACAACCCTGTACAGGACTTCCAAGGAATAGCTGGTAGGTTTCAACTGCCGACCTTGTGATTAGAAGTCCAGTGCTTATCCTACAGTGCCACACCAGAACTCCTATAAAACATAATCATACAAAAATCTAACTTCAGGAACAACTACACAATGGCAAGCAAGTGTAATTCCTTTTGTTTTTGTATACTCAACAGTTCAAGTTTGTGTGTGATTATAGTGTTTTCTCCTGCCCCATGATGCTCTAAAATTCTAAATAATAAAGCATCCATGAATACTGATGTCCTAAGAATGTGTTCCAGAGCCCAAAATTAAAGAGCTGACTGATAGAAAGGAGACGAAATAGGAAATGAAAGAAATTGATGAATCCTTTAGCCAGTTTAATGTCATCAGAAATGCCAGGAAGATGTTATCATTTCTCTCCTACCCCAGGAGTTCTGATGCAAAGCCTTCAGTGATGGGTTTTGCTGTTTTTCAGAGTCTTGTCAAATACAAAAAAACTAGAAGATGAAAAAGTTTGCAGAACATATTGTATCTATGCATTTTCTCACTAAGTCCTGCTTATATACATAAATATTGCCAGATATATCTCTAGCTTCATAGAAATGCCAGAGATCCCTTCCTGCAAAACTAGCTCTAGGACTACAAGATTATTTTGTAAGGTAGACTATAAAATGATGGATTTTCATAAATCCCAATCTAAATTTCCAAAGAATCTTACCGAGTAGATTTCATGTCATTAATACATGTTGTTCCACAGGTTTAAAACAAACAAAGAAACAAAACACTTCTATTGTTTTGGTTTACTTTTTCAATTGGCAATCTGGGAATTTTATTCTCTCTCTTTATTTTGAATTTCAGTTATATCGTGTTTGTACTTTTCTATTGTTGCGTGCCATTAAGTGAGTTCCAACACATAGCAAGCTTGTATGTATAGGGTTTCCGAGGAGCTACTAGTGGGTTTGAATCACCGACCATGCAGTTAGCAGTCCAGTGCTTATCCTACAGTGCCACACCATGTCACCTTATAATTTATAAGCACCAGTATTTACCCTTTTACCCTTTTAGGTTATCACCTCTACAGACTCTAGCATTAATTTCCTGTCATTTCATTAGGCCATAGTGTTTCCATTGCCTTAATTAAGTTTTGTTGTTTCTTCATGGACTCTCCCCAGCTTTCTTACATCCTTTTTAAATGCTCAGGAAGAGCATAGCTTTCTAGGTGCGGTCCCTGGAGTCACTGGGAGGAACCTTCACCTCCCCACTCCTTGGTATGATGTAACCTTTGTGCACTGTGTGATGACATGCGGAAAGTGCTGATGTGTAATGCATCTGCATTCAATTCCTTCTGAAGAAAAAAAACAAAGCAACTGCGTGCCATCTACTCAAAGGAAAGCAGAACGTATTTGATTCAGCCATGAATGAGAGGTCATAGCGTTTTGAATGAAAGGCTAGTTACAAACTACCAACGCAAAAAATTCTACATCACATTGAGAAATGAGTCTTTTGTTTTAGATTGAATCTTAAAAGGAAAATAACATATTATTATTCTTTAATTTCATTTTAAAAATTTCTTTATAAACAAATTCTTAAATTATTATTTTACAAATCAAACAGTAAAATATACACCTAGAGTGATATGTTTGGAGGCTAGAGGTGGGAGTGGGGATGACAGGGAATTGAGAATAATCTCACTTTTAGGGTAGACATAGAAATTTTTCTCTCTTCCCCCACATCAAATTATAAAGCTAAAAGGGCCTTGTGAAAAATAAACCAAAGCCCAAAGAAATTAAGGGACCAGCATAGGACTACCTGAATTATGTGACATAAATATGTTACTTCCAGTATAGATCTACCTTCTCTCTTTGTGGAAAGCCCATTCTTAAGTCTTCAGAAATAATAAAGAGAAAGTCCACTTTGGCTGTTGGTGAAAAATTCTTATGTTCAGTTCTTCAGTTTCTATTTCAGGGCCAGTTTTAAACCTTTATTTGTTTAGAGAATTCTAGGATATTGATCCAAATGGATAGTCATTAGGTAGTCCCATGAACAATAGGAAGAGCTAATCAACAAAAGCACTGATGGATCAGTGAGTCCAACAAAAAGTTTTATAATCCATTCAGACATAGAAATGTTTTGCCTACTTTGGGCTTAATATCCACATAGATAGCTCTTGTTTTTGTTGTTAAGTGCCATTGAGTCAGTTCTGATTTATAGAGACCCTGTAGAGGGCTTCCAAGGAGTGGCTGGTGGGTTTGAACTACTGACCTTTTGGTTAGGAGTCCAGTGCCACACCAGGACCCCCCAGATAGCTCTCTGTTCTCAAAAGCTCTTTAGTTTATTCCATATTTCAAAGATAATGGCTGCAATGTTGTTACAAACTGGGTATGATTTGCATTTGCTCTGGACATCCCATCATCTTCTCTCTACTGTAGCTTCCTTAAATGTTGATTTCACCAAAAAGTTGACATCACATTCTTCTCAACACCATTTTGTTGTTGTTAAGTGCCATTGAGTTGGTTCCTACTCATGGAGACCCCACATAGGGTTTCCAAGGAGTGGCTGGTAGGTTTGAACTGCTGACCTTGTGGTCAACAGTCCAGTGCTTATCCAACAGCACCACACCAGGACATCTTAAACAGCATAACAGCAGCATATTTGGAACTAGTTCCATAGCATGAATAGACTCAGAGAAACCAAACCCCACTGCCATGAAGGTGATTCCAACTGATAGCGACCCTGTAAGACAGAATAGAACTGTCCATACGTTTTCCAAATTTTAATAAAAGCAAACGGCCACATCATTCTTCCTTGGAGAAGCTGGTGGGTTTGAACCACCAACCTTTTGGTTAGCAATCAAGTGCCACTAGGGATACTAAACTTAGAGACATCTAAAACGTTGGTAGCAAGAACAGGAAGAATCCAAGCTTGACATTGCTTTGGCTTGCTGCAATGTGGATAATTACTACCATGAAAGTTTACATCTGCCAGGTCTGGAGCTTGCAACTCAGCTTTCTGTAGAACAATAGCTGCACAATGACAGCAAACCTAGAGGAAGACTAGGAACAGGAAATCTGTCACTTGACTCCCGTGGTATCCTAACTAGTGCAAAGTTGCATGACCAAAAATTGAATCTACTTCTCTCATTCCACTGTGATCCCCACTTCGGTTTTTTTCCAAGTCTAGTCAGCTTGAGATGTTTTCTTGTTTCATCTGAAGAGTTCTGTTTTGAACCAACTCATTTTGATAAATGTCTGGAAATTTTCTTACAAAAGCTTCACAGCGGTCTCCCTCCGGAACAGACATTATAAGGCAATTTCAATTTTAGACACCTAAAAGAGAGCATTGGTTTTCAAGTGAATTTGTTGCTTTTATGGATCCCTGTTGATTATATAAATGTGCTGGTATATATTCGCTTTTGGTACTTCCCCCAGCTCCTTTTCAACCCAGCTGCAGACCAACCTTCAGTAGCTGTGAGTGTTAAAATGCTCACAGTAGCATTCCACTCCTGAGAATTCCCCTTAGCCAATCATCACCTTGCCAGGAGACTTGTGGAAAATTACAAGTACTTGGAGTCTCTGGGTAGCACGAACAGTTAAACATGTGACTATTGACCAAAAAGTTGGTGGTTCAAACCCATGCAGGATCTTATTGGAAGCAAGGTCAGGTGACCTGCTTTCAAAAGGTCAGATCCTTTTGAAAACCCTATGGAACATAGTTCTACTCTGCAATCCATGGAGTCACCCACATTTGAGATGCCATGTTGGCAACTCATTTGGGTTTTGGTTTTGTTACCCACAACTATGCCAAGGGATCCTGTGGCCAATGACTTATTAATATGGGGTGTTAACACTAAGATCCCTTTTCAGTGGGACAAGCTTGTGATACCATTCACATGCTAGATTCCCACATGGAATCAGCCTGTGACTCGACTTCACCTAATGCAACCTCTTTGCTGTTTCTTTCTCTCATCTGTTTTCCTCTCATGCTAACATGTTTCATCTTAGAGCATACTGTCAATCAGTCACTTACACCAAGGAATCTGACCTCAGACAGCTGACTTCTTAGCATTTGAAGATTTTATGCACTGGACCACAAGGTCGGCCGTTCAAACTCACCAGCCACTTCTCAGAAACTGTATATAGGATCACTATAAGTTGGAACTGACTTGACAGCATTAACAACAACAACAACCACCTCTTATTTTATATTTATTGGTGCCTAAACAAATCTGGAGTTCTGGTGTGGTGCTGTGGGTTAATGTGCTAGACTTCAAAGTTGGTTTGAACCACAAGATCGGTGGTTCAAGCTCACCAGTCATTCCTTGGAAAACCTGTACAGGGTCACTATGGGTAGGATCCAACTCCACACTTAACAACAACAAACAAATCCAAATTGATATAACATATATTTGATTCTTTCAGAGATGTAATCGTTAAGAAAAACACTTTTCTTTTTTCTCTAATTTTCTACTTGTTCATCTTGGTCATTTGAAAAATGACAACCTAAGAGAATTGCTATTAGGTATTGTTTAGTCAGTTCTGTCTCATAGTAGCCTTAAGTACAACAGAATGAAACACTGCCTGGCCCTACACTCTCCTCACAATCTGCTCCATTAGAAACGATTGTTGAAGCCACTGTGTCTATCTGTCTCATTGAGGAGCTTCCACTTTTATGCTAATCTTCTACTTAACCAAGTCTATAGTCACTGGTACTTTCTGGTAAAATGTGTAAAGTACATGAAATGAAATGTATAAAGTACATGAAAAGAAAGTATCCTTTCTTTTAAGGAACATTCTATCTGGTTTTTTTTTCAACACAGACTTGTTCAGTCTTTTGGCCATCAGTGGTATATGTATTATTCTTCACCAACAATATAATTCAAATGCATAGATTCTTTTCAGGTCTTCCTTATTAATTATCCAGTTTTTGCACACATATAAAGCAATTGAAAATGCCATAGCTTAGATCAGATGCACTTGAGTCCTCACAGTGACATCTTTACTCTTTGATACTTTAAAGAGGTCTTTCACAGAAGATTTGCCGAATGCAATAAGTCCTTTGATTTTTAGATACTGGATTAAAGTAAAATAAAATCCTTGACAATTTCAGTCTTTTCTTTGTTTATCATGATGCTGTTTACTGGTCCAGTTGTGAGGACTTTTGTTTTCTTTATGTTGAGGTGTAATCCATACTGAAGGCTGTAGTCTTTGGTCTTCCTTCAGTTAGTGTTTCAGGTTCCCTTGGCTTTCAGTAAGCAAAGTTGTGTCATTTGCATATCGCAGGTTTTTAATGAATTACTCCTATTTCTATGTTGCCTCTTTCTTCTCAGATTATTTGCTTAGCATACAGAGTGAATAAGGATGATGAAAGGATATAACCATGATGCACAACTTTTCTGATTGTAAATCACTTAGAATTTCCCTTATTCTGTTTGAATGACTGCCTCTTGATGTAGCCGCACAGTTAAGTGCAAATACTACTCTTCACGATGGTATCCATAATTTTTTACGATCCACACAGTCAACTGTCTTTTCAGAGTCAATAAAACAAAAGTAAACATCTTTCTAGAATTCAGTCAAAATATATACAATATCAGCCTTTGTTTCATGACATCTTCTGAATATGACTGATATTTTTGACAATCCCCTTTCAATGTAAATTTTTAAATTATGTTGCGTTAAATTTTACTTGCATTTGATATTAATGATATTACTTGATACTATTTTCATTCTATTGGACCACCTCTCATTGGAAGAGACAGGTATATGGATCTCTCCCAATTGGCCAGGTAACTGTCTTTCAAATTTCTTAACATAGTCAAAAGACCACCTCTGGCACTGTATCCATTTGTTGAAACATTTAAAATGGTATTCCATCAATTCCTGGAGCCTTGTTTTTCACTAATGCCTTCAATGCAGCTTGGACTTCTTTCTTCAATACCATCATATGCTTCCTCCTTAAATGATCGGATGTTACCCTTTTTTCCTTCTTTTTTTTTTTTTGTACAGTGACTTCTGTGTATTCCTTCCATCTTCTCTGGATACTTCCTGCATCTTCATTAATTTGCCCATAGAATCCTTCAATATTGTAATTAGAGGCTTGAATTTTTTTCTTCAGTTCTTTCAGCTTGAGAAATGCTGAGTATGTTCTTCTCTCTTGGTTTTTTAAGGCCAGGAATTTACACATTTGATTATAATAATCTGTCTTCTGTAACCACCACTTGAAATGTTTTGTTCAACTCTTTTACTTCATCATTTCTTTGGTTCGCTTTAGCTACTCTACCTTCAAGAGCAGGTGTCAAGAGTCTCTTCTGACATCTATTCTGCTCTTTTTTGTGTGTCTTTTCAATGACTCTTATTTTCTTAATAGAGTTAATATAATAAGGACAAAATATTTGCTTTTTCTCATTGATGTATATAATACTATTTCTTGAATTTTCCCTAGTTACATGGATTTAAGGAAAAAATACTGGTGTAGAATAGCCAAAAGTAAGCATTAATATATAATTAATTTATATTGTTTGTTATCTTAGGCTTTAAGCAGGAGAAAGTATTTCCTGTATATACTGCAATGAATGTCTGGAAAGAAAGTGGCCCATGTTTATCACACATTCTCTTTCACTTAATACTCATTCTTGATTTATTTATTCAGCAATTATATTCTGAGTATCTATTGTGTTTCAAACAGTGTATTGTTGTTGTTGTTGCAGTTGGTACTGACTCATAGTGAAACTATATGACAGACTAGAACATTTGCATAGGGTTCCCTAGGTTGCAATCGTTACCGAAGCCAAATGCCAGATCTTTTCTTTTGAAGACTCACTGGTGGGTTTAAACCATCAACTTTTTGCTTAGCAGCCAAGCTTATGTACTGAAGATATGATTGAGAATAAGACAAAGGTAGTCCCTTCCCCATGAGATTTACTGTCCCTTTCACTTATAACACTAATGTAGGCAGACAGAAATAAGGATGAAGTCAATTTGTAAATTAGAGCTATTCTACTGCAACTGAAGATAAATTTTTATCAGTTCTCTGAGTTTATGAGTAAAGGCATCAAAACAAAACATTATACAAAATGCTGCCAGATTTGTGCTGTATTCTCACTAAAAATTTATACATGCAATGTCTGGCACATTGTAGAGACTCTGTAAATATTTGTAAAATAAATGAGTGCCAAGAAGACTTCATATTTTGTCTTTTTCATACCTCTTTCTTGTGTAGTAATACAAAATCGCGAGAAAGCTACTTAATATTAACCCAACGCCAATTCCAATTGCAATATATTTTTCATGAGAATCCACAGCATATGAAGTTAAAGTCAAGTGCTCACACCTTTCTCCAGTATAACCAGTTAAACACCTTAAAAAAAAAGAGAGAGAAAACATGTATAATTAAAACATTCGTAACAATAAAAGTACAAAGAAATGACTGCTTTTAAAGAATGAAAACAATTTTGTTAGAAAGTAAGTAATTTGAATAGGAGAGGCAAATACTCAGTGAAAGTCAATCTGTTGAAGGAAATGAAGTAGCTATTATTTTATTATAGTTATTTTATTAAGACATCATATATTACAATCCTTTGGTTGATAGAACGGGAACAAAGTATTGCTGCATTAACTGGTCTAGAAAATACATGGTCTACTATTTCATAGGAGGATCTGAGCAAATTGAAAAGTTGGTGGTTTGAGTCCACATAGAGACACCTCAAAAGACAATCCGGCTATCTGCTTCAGAAAAACAGCTGCTGAAAACTCTGTGGTGCACATCTCTACTCTGACACACAGAAAGTCACCAATAGTGTTAATCAACTCAACAACATCTGCTTTATGTTGTTCTAGAATTTTATATTTCTGACACGTTTGACACAGTCTATTTCTTCACCCTATAAGCAACTCTGAAAATGTTGAACATAAGTCAGGAAATTGAGACATTGGGAAGTTTAGCGCTAAACTCACAGAAAGAAGACCAAAGTCCTGATCCCCTGGCAAAGTGTTGTTGTTGTTAGGTGCCATCGAGTCAGTACTGACTCATAGCAACTTTATGCACAGTAGAACGAAACACTGCCCACCCAGTCCTG